TTGAAAAGGGATAGGAAAGCAGAGCACTTACTAAAACATAAAATAAGGAACAGTATTAACAGCAGCCAGGACTCTACTCTTTCCGGGGAAATATGAATTATCTGTACTAAATGGAAAGGTTGAACACTGCTTCATGCAGTTACGTGAACCCTCACACGGCCAACAGTTAACACTGATAGGAAAGCTTTGAATCCTTAATAAAACAGAAAGATTCTTAAAGCCAGTCATTTCTCCCCCTCAGATGCCCATCTATTTTAAGACTGAATAAATCTGCCTGCTGAGCAGTTCATTTCCAGAAGTTAGTAAACATTGCAAAGTTAGTTTCAAAGCATATGGCAGATATTTAGCAAATGTTTGGGCTTTTTCCTCCCAAAACCATGATGTGACTTAACAAGAAAACTAAGTTTTCAAACTCTTCCACTAGAGTTCTACCTATTTCACAGGTTGGAAGTCCATACAGGTGGTTGAGGACAGGTAGCCATAGGAATGGTCGATTCTTCAGCACAGCTCTTTTGTTAATACACTTCATAATTTACATGTTTATAGACATTTTTCAAATGTGTCCAACTTAAAATTTTTAATTAGAAAAAAATTAAGTACAATTTCTTGATTGAAGTCACAGTTTTGGGGTGGGGAGAAGCAGCCCTGCAGAGTCAGCACTCTCATGGTCCTTTACAGAAGGGAACAGAATCAAGATAGGACATGACTGTGTTAGGGTTACACAATTTGCAGCGAAATGACAGCCAGGATTAATTTCTCTCCCAGGTGCATAGATCAAACCTTCCGAAATCAGATTTTCAGAGTTTCGTACAAGTTTGGAAGACTCGTGGGTCTCTAGCCTGCCAGGTCAGCTTATATTCACAGATGCAAGAGTCAGCAGGGAAAGAACAGGACATTGGTGTCACCTGGCACTTTCAAACCCACTAGGTTACTCAGGGGTTCCTTGGACCTCGGCTTAGAAGAGACCTCATAAGAGAGCTGGGAATAAGATGAACGTGGTCCACAGGCTCGGTGGTCCCGACCCAGGGGTGCCAAGGGAACCGGCTCTGGGCATATATATGATGGGTGTTCGTGAACAGTAATTAAACACTTTTAAAGTATGCTGGGGACTTGGGCTTTCTTCCTTTCTCAATCTTCCATTCCCATTCGGAGCATTCATCAACCTGACAGCATGTTCTCTGACTTCATGGAGACTGATGAATTGTGACTCTGCTGTCCCGTTGTCCTGATGATGTCCAGCTATTCCTTCACACAATCAGGCTTCAAAATGGGAAGCTTCGACAGGACCACTTCATCTTGTTAATGTGGACATTGACCATGTACCTCATAGTCATAATGAAAGGACCCCCAAATAGTAGTCAGTCCACTCCCAAGTCAGCTGCTGTCTACTGTAAACATGATTTGAGAAATGTAAGATATTTATTCCATGTAGGTCTTTTCATGGGAAAATGCTCTTTATACCATTGTTTTTAGGTGAGTTCTTTACATTCAATAAATTATTATAGTAGAAAAAGGGGGAGGAGACTTGTCCCTTAAAGAGTTCACAGTTACATGGATGTAAAGGCTCTGTCCCAGAGACTGTTAGGCTCTTCCAGTTCTTTACAGTTTCATTTGTGATAGTAAAGACTAGAGAGTCCGGAATTAGTAAGTCAGTTAAATATATTCTGGTACATTCAGTCTATGAAAAGTTATGCAGCTTTTAAAATAAATGTGGTGGGTCTATTCAAGCTGCTGACCTATGTTATTAAATAAAGTCATGAACACAACATTTGTGCTTTAGGAAAGTAAGGGATTACGCACACAGGGAAATATGAATTGTCTTTACTGAATGGAAATGTTGAAAACTGCTTCCTACAGTTATGTGAACCCTCACATGGCCAAAATTCAATATTGACAGGGTAGCTTGAATCCTTAATAAAACAGTCTTCAATCATTCATTTTAAGATTGATTTTATGTAACTATGTATCTTGTCATGGTCACCTCTAGAGAGGGAAATGGAGGGATAAACTAAGCCCCCTCTTTCCTTCCAAGTGTCCCTTCAGATTACTTCCACAGAAAGGCAGCCTTTGCCAGTAAAACACTGCGTCCTCCCCTGCTACCCTGGGACGGAAAGGGGTCTTAGCTTCTGGCTTTAGTCTAGAGGGTGAAGTGCCAGTAAGAATGGTCCCTGGAGACTGCAGCCTTCAATTTCCACTCTTCTTGGCCATCCTGAGGTGCTTCTATAGATTTCGAAAAATTAAAGAAATAACTGGGTCAAAAGGTGGTTCCATTCCCAGCTTTCCAAGGAGTCTCCATACTGCTTTCCAGATTGGCTGCACCAATTTGCAGTCCCACCAGCATGTGTGAGTGTGCCTTTTCCCCCACATCCTCACCAACACTTATTGTTGTTTGTATTCTTAATAGCTGCCATTCTGACTGGAGTGAGACGATATCTTAGTTTTGATTTGCATTTCTCTAATTGCTAGAGATGATGAACATTTTTCATATATTTATTGATTGTATATCAACTTCTGAGAAGTGTCTGTTCAGGTCCTTGGCCCATTTATTGATTGGGTTATTTGTTTTTTTGGTGCTTAGCTTTTTGAGTTCTTTATATACCCTAGAGTTTAGTGCTCTATCTGATGTGTGAGGGGTAAAGATTTGCTCCCAGGATGTAGGCTCTCTATTCACCTCACAGATTCTTTCTTTTTCTTTTTCTTTTTGTTGCTAAGAAACTTTTTATTGATTCTTGATTTTATTGATTTATTGATTCTTGATTTTAATTCTTGTGCTATAGGAGTCTTATTAAGGAAGTTGAGGCCTAATCCCACATGATGGAGATCATTTGACCCATTTGACCATTTGACCCAGCTATCCCACTCCTCTATCTACATCCAAAGGACTTAAAAACAGCATACCACAGGGACACAGCTACATCAAGGTTTATAGCAGCATAATTCACAATAGCTAAATTGTAGAAACAACCTAGATGCCCTTCAGTAGATGAATGGGTAAAAAAAAAATGTGGTATATATACACAATGGAATATTACTCAGCAATAAAAGGGAATAAAAATCATTGCATTTGCAGGTAAATGGATGGAGTTAGAGGAGATAATGCTAAGTGAAGTTAGCCAACTCCAAAAAAACAAATGCAGATTGTTTTCTCTGATACAAGGAGGTTGATTCATAGTGGGGTAGGGAGGGGGAGCATGGGAGGATTAGATGAACTCTAGATAGGGCAGAGGGGTGGGAGGGGAAGGGAGGGGGCAGGGGGTTAGATGAGGTGATGGAATGTGGTGGTCATCATTATCCAAAGTACATGTATGAAGACACGAATTAGTGTGAATATACTTTGAATACAACCAGAGGTATGAAAAGTTGTGCTCTATATGTGTAATATGAATTGTCAAAAAAGATTAAAGGAAGCCATTCAGAACAAATCCCACAAAAGGCCCTAAGACAAGGTTCTCTGAGGAACTGGGTGGAAATCAGGAACCAGAGCCTAAGAGCACAAGTCACCCATTAGCTGCTTCTTCCCTCCTCAGAGGAGCAAAAAATTAACTTCTTGTTCTAATAATTGAGAATAAGTTACATGAACTAAAGAACTACTTTCAACCTATAAACAATAAGAAATAAAGTAGCTTCCAAACCCAAGTATCTACACAATGTTCACAGCATTTATCTCCCCTTCAAAGCTAAAAACGGCCAAGGACCTGATGATTGTCCCTCAATGGAAGGGATAAACAAGATGCCGTCTATCCATACAGTGGAACATTTTTTAACAAAGACAATCCAAGTTCTGCCACATGGATGAACCTCAGGAAGAGCATGCTTCATCCAGGAAGCCACTCACAGAAGACCGCATTCCGGAGGTGGCAAATCCAGACACAGGAGCAGGGGAGGGCATATCTGTAGTTTCTTTATGGGATGTTGAAATGTCCTAAAATTATACTGTATTGATGGATGTACAACTCTACCATTGAAAACTGATGAACCATAATCTTAAATGAATGTATTTTATGTGAGCTACATCCAATAACGCTATTAAAGAAGTTCATAGTCTACACTTGTAAACTTACACTAGGTGGAAAAAAAGCTATATTGATAGAACTAATGACTCAAAAAGTTCTCCAGTTAAAGGTCAAATAGATTTAAACCCAGGAATACCTCCAAAAAACTCACATTAACAATTCAAAATTCAATTCCAAATGCATAATAATTGACTTTATTTTCATCAACACATGATCTATATAACACCTTTTAATTCTTCCCGTTATCAAAATACCCATAATTGGATTGCTCCCACCGCTTAGTCAGCTGGGTAGAGCCCAGAAATCTGCACCCTTAGACAAACTCCCCGGAGATGAGACAGGGCCAGCTCAGGAGCTCTAGACTGGTAGATCCCTCCTTGCTCACTGACAGGAGGGGGTCAGAATGAGAGGGCTACTCTTCTCTTGCTACATCTTCATAGATATTCTTGATTTCCTGCAGCTGTACCTCTTGCAGCAGGTTAAATTAGAAGTGATAACCTCTGAAGAGTTGGAACGCAGTGATCATGCGTCTCACACATCAAGCTCACACAAAACACAAGTTTTGTGTTCTGGTGGGATGATGCAGAATAGTGAACGTGTCTTTGAAAGTTTTTAAAATGTGATCTTTGTTCTATGGTCAAGAGAATAATGGCGTCTTAGGAGTGATATGTAAACTGGCTTTCATTCAATACAAACATTACATACTTCCACCTTCCCAGAAATGGTCACCTTGTCGCTACCACTCTGTGGACTCTGCCGCGTGAGCATTTGGACCCGTTTAGGCACCCAGCAAAGGTCGAGAAGCCCTCCCTCCAAACCTACAACATCTTAGAAATGCTTAAACTGCTTCCACCCTCCACCCAGTAGTTCAAATGAGCTGCCGAAACGTAGTCCAATCAGCCCTTCAACTCTAAAGAATGCAGGTTCCCTGGGGTCCTGTGTGTCCTCCCCAGGCAGAAGGGACACAAGGGCCCCTTCTCTGAAGCCTCAGTTGGTCTGAGCAACTCTGGTGTCAAAACCATGGAAGTTCAGCATCTTTGTCACCAACTCTGGAAGATCAATGTCGTGTCTCCACCCCCAGTCCTTCCGGGCATTGCTGTCATCCAAGTTCATGGGCCAGCTATCCGCTAGAGAGAGAGGTTATTCAGACTCTGGATTTGCCAAAGTTCTACAGCGTTTTATGTGAAGATTGATTGTACAAGGAACAAAAAAAGTAGAACAACTACTATACACACACAGTCACCCTCTTAGAAGGTCAGACTAGACTAGACACCTACCGTCTGACACTGACTTTCATGTTAAAACCCCTCTCTCTCATATATATATATAATATATATACACATATATATAAATAAATATATGATATATAATATATCATATATTTTATCACATATATATTATATCACATATATAATATATATTATATCATATATTATATATAAGATATCTATATCTTAAATCTATATATAAAATTAACCAAAGATTGAACAGGGACACTCAACCACTGAGCCCCATCCCCAGCCTTTTTTTTTTTTTTTTAATTTTGTTTAGAGACAGGGTCTTGCTGAGTTGCTTAGTGCCGCACTAAGTTGCTGAGGCTTTGAACTTGTGATCCTCCTGTCTCAGCCTCCAGAGCCACTGGGATTTCAGGCATGCACCACTGTACCCAGCAAAACCTCACAGCGAGGAAAGTTAAATAAAAAAGTGGCGGTTAGAGTATGTGAAAACCCAGGGCTGCTCCCATACTTTCTCAGTTGCTTCCTTTTCCCCTTGTTTTGCATTTAATCTGTAAGATGCTGTTGAGCCATTCCCTTGGAATGGAATCATTTTACCCACTTAGATCATATCTCAAAAATCAAAGCATCTGCTAACCAGCTCAACAGCAGCTAATTCTGTAGCACGCATCTCGGCCCTGGGGTGAGAGCTTCCCCGGCTGACATCCTCAGGACTCATGGTGCACGCCAAAGCTCAGTTTTGACTGTGCTGGTTGGCAGTAGTTGACCCACCTATGGCCTGCCGCATAGGGTCCACGTGGTAGGTGATCTGGAACTCCGGCAGGTGCCTGCGGACCTCCTGGGCCAGCTCCTCAGGGGTGAAGCTCATGGCACTGATGTTGTAGGTCCTCATGGAGAGAGACTCTGCGGGTGCATCCATGACCTCCAGAGTGGCCCTGAGGCAGTCGTTGATGTACATCATCGGAAGCCTGGTGCTGGCCTTCAGGTTGCACTCAAATTTGCCCCTCCTTGTGGCCTCTTGGAAAATATGGACTGCGTAGTCTGAAAGAGAATCCGTCTGTGGGTTTTTCTTATGTCAAAACCATGCAGGAGCCTCTTGGACCAAGGCAGCAGCTCTATAATGTTTTAGTCCCAGAACCTCTTCAGGCTCTTAAAAATGTAGGACTCCCAGAGATTTGACCCATGCAGGCTCTATCAAGATTTACTGTGTGACATAGGTAAATGAAAATTTTTAGAATGTAAACCAGTAAGTTCTAAAATGACAAGAATAACCTATTACATATTGATATGTGTGATATTTTATGGGAAAAAGAACATCATTTTCAAACAAAGAAAGTTTACTGAGAAGAACAATCTGTTGTACATTTTAAGAAACTCTGGAGCCGGGTGCAGTGGCGCACGCCTGTAATCCCACCGGCTCAGGAGGCTCAGACAGGAGGATTGTGAGTCCAAAACCAGCCTCAGCAAATTAGCGAGGCCCTAAGCAACCTAGCAAGACCCTATCTCTAAATAAAATACAGAAAAGGGCTGGGGTTGTGGCTCAGTGGTTAAGTGCCCCTGAGTTTAATCCCTGGTACAAGGAAGGAAGGAAGGAAGGAAAGAAACAAAACTCTCGGGTTTAGCAGGAGACAGCTGAAGCATCTACCAGCTTCCACATTCAGCCTGTTCTGCTGTAGCACACACCTCTGGGAAACTCCTGGCTTGAGCGGGGGAAGGAAAGTGGCTAATAATGTCCCTGTACTAGTATGGGTAGTGTTGACCCCTGGATTCCTTGAAAGAATCTCAAGGATGCTCAGAGGCCCCTGAGCCACACTTGAAGAGGCTCCACATGAAGGTAGGAGCTTTTCTAAAGTGACCAAAACCAAAGTCACCTTTAAAGTCCCTCAGGTTTTGTCAAGCAGCTTTTATACTACACCTCAGGACCACTGTATGGGGAGGATCCCCGACATGACGGTTGCTGAATGTCACGCACGCCTGAGTCCAAAATAGCACTACTTAGGCCCTTTTCAAATGTGCAACGTGCAGGGTCCATTCCAGCCAGCTGTTCTCTATTAAGAAACAAGGGCTGTATTCAAGGAAGCTGATGGGGGTCTTCTACATGGCGAGTCACACACCTGTCCTCGAGCAGTGTCCTCACCCAGCACTGTGGTGGCAATGCCAAGCTGACTGCCAGCTCCTGCATGTGCCCTGAGCAAGGGCAAGTCGATAGGGTCTGCTGTGCACAAGAGCACACACCTGGGAGAAGGCAAAGAAACTGCAGGTGCTCCTTACACACTAGAGACAGGGCCGTTCACCACCAAGAAGATGCTTCCCGGCAATAAGTGAGCCTATCTTACATATAAAAGAAATCAGAAACCCTTCTTACCAGTTGTTCCTCCCCCAGGCTCCGAGTCAGCAGAAATGATTCCAGGGTACCTCAGGCAGCGGAAATCTAACCCGTACCGGTAATAATAGTACTATGAGAAAGAGACAGCTGACTCAGAAAAGGATCTTTAAATCAGAACACAGCCAAAAAAATTTTTTAAGTTTTTTTCTTTTTCTGAATATCATTCCATACAGCTATATTAAAATATTCCTAAAGAAAATGAAGAGTTTAGAACTTCCTAGAGTCATTCACTCATCTTGAACACTCTTCTGTCTTTATCCCAGAGAATCACCGTCGTGGTGACCCAGCAACTCTGCCAACAACAACCCAGCCTCCAGCAGGGGTCTGCTACCTTTCACTGTCCTGAGCCTGAAGGGTTCATCTGCTCATGCAGCCTGGCAAAGAGCGGAGGGGAGGGCAGAGGCCAGAGCAATGGCCAGACCCAGCAGCCAAAGGATCGGATGTTGACTCGAATTTACTATAGAGGCCAGGCACCTGGTGCACACCTGTGATCCCAGCAGCTCAGAGGCTGAGGTAGGAGGACTGAGAGTGCAAAGCCAGCCTCAGCAACTTAGTGAGGCCCTAAGCAACTCAGTGAGACTATGTCTCTAAATAAAATACATAAAAGGGCTGGAGGATGTGGCTCAGAGGATGAGCACCCCTAGGTTCAATCCCTACCAAAAAAAAAGAAAAAAATACTATAGAGATATAAAGACAGAGTAGGGAAAGAAAAAAAAAGCTTGAGGTTTTCCAGAACACAAAGTCATCACCAATAACTACGGGCACTGGTCGCCTAGAACAATGGTGCTCAGGAACAGGGCTACAGCAAGCAAAGGCTTCGGAGCCACTTACCGTTCAGGAAGTGCCAGGCCACAGGGGGTTCTTAGGAGCCTGCCACTTGGCAAACATAGCAGGGAGGTAAACGTCCCTGGGGGCGGGGCAGGGGAGGGGCAAGCGCCCCAGGACGAAATCAGCAGGTGCTCACTCGGTCACTCCAGGCAGAGTGGGAAAGGAAACTGAAGGAACAGACCCGCCGCAGGGCAGCAGCCTCCCAGGGGTGCTTACCTCTCCCATGAGCTCCATGTGCACCTTGGACACCCCGTAGATGGTCCTGGGCCTCTGGGTGCAGAGCTCAGGGGCTGGGTTTCGGGGAGAAGTAGGTCCAAAAGCCGCGATGGTGCTGGGCACAAACAAGCGCAGGTGGTACTCAGTCGCGATGTCCAGGACGTGGTGCAGCCCTGAGGGGCAGGGTCATCAGAACCTCTCTCACCGAGGAGTGAGGAGCGGGAGAGCGGACCAGGCGGGCTGGACACTCACCAGTGATGTTCACGGCTCGTGCCAAGGGCACGTTGGCCTCTCCAGCGGCGCTGAGCAAAGCGCTGTAATGGAACAGCCAGGTGATGCGGTGGTTGACCACGATCTCCCGGAGCCGCTTGTAATCCAGGACATCGGCATAAATGAAGGGGCCTACAGAACACAGGCGAGCAGGTGGGGATCTGAGGAGCCAAGCAGCCCACACACCTGGAGAATCCCGCTGGGATCCGCAGGTAATAATAGCTGGTGCTCCTACAAGGAACTGAGCATCAGGTGTAGTTCACCTTCTCATAGCCTTGGAGGTAGACACATTTAACCAGTGAGGAACCTGAGGCACAGAGAAGTTCAGCAGCTGCCAGGGGTCAAACAGAAACAAGTGGAAAAAGTCGGGTCACCACTGGGCATCTGCCACCCCCTCCCTAGGCGTCACTGCTGATGCCAACTCCAGCTCCCTGGTCACCTCATTCTGCTTTCAAGCTGCAGATTTCAAAAGAAATAGAAGAATCCTAAGTCATCAGTTCTCCATATCTAATTACACAGGAGGCAGAGACGATTCTGCTCAAGGCCAATGGAAGACCACCCCCACCCCCCAGCAGCTTGCTAATCTGCCCAGGACACATAGAAAAAGGCCAACTCTGAACCAGGAAGGACTGACAGACAGGATGGAATGCTTATGAGGCAGTAGACAACTTCACAAGAGGAGCTTGAGTATTTTTGTGTGTGCGTGCCATAGCTTAAGAGCAATTCTACCTTATAACATCCCAATTAATATCTCCAAGTTTTTAAAGTTCTTTTTCCTCATCACAGAACTTGATCTGTTTGTCTACTCTGAGCCAGTAAGTTATCTAAAAATTCAAAAGACAGGAATCCAAGTTTTTATTCCAAAGATATTACTCTAAATTATATCAAAAGATATTATTTTGAAACATCAAATGATTTAATAGCTGCTGCTATTCAAGTGGTTAAAAGCATTAGAAATATCAAAAAATATCCCCCCCAAAAAAAATCAAAAAAAATTCAAGTGGTTAAAAGCATTAGAAACATCAAATACTTTTAAGTGGCACAATGTGTCTCGATAACTTTCTTTGATCCACATACCTGGATAGGGGCTGTCGCGCGCACTGACTCCATGAACCATATCTTTAACCACACTTTGAAAATTAAAGATAAATATAGCAGCAAGGCTTATCGATCACTTACCATGACGTAAGACATAATTGGGGGGTTTCTTTATGTCTGACAAAATCACATTTTCCTCCCCAAATCGTTTCCTAAAGGGAAAATCAAAACACAAGTCAGCAACCTGGAGGATATAACAGCTTCTGCAAAAAAAAGAAAAAAAAAATCTTTTAAAATAGAAGCAGCCTCCTTCCTCCTCACCTGGGACACACCTTGCTTCTCTCATGCTCAGGCCCCTTCCCCACCCAGCCTCATGTTCTGTTTCTCTTCTCACCCCACTGTCAGCGCTCTGTCTGTCACCGGGTTCTCCCCAGTATCCCTGTCACTGGACTTCTAAGTCAGAAGCCCAATTCAGGGAAAGTTCCAACGATAGGTCTGGACACTTGTTCCAACAAACAAACAAACAAACAAACACGTGGACTCTGACTGGTGAAGAGCAGGAGAGGACTGGAGTCGGCACAGCTGCAGCAGGAGGACCAGCTCCGTCTTCAGGAGAACCGGCCCGGGCTCCCTTCCCGGGTTATAGACAAAGGAACCAGAACCGAGCCCAGTCAAGCAGTGCTGGTCAGACTGTGGTCCGGCTGATCGTTGTCTCAGGACTGGTTAGAGGGGCTTGTCAGGGTTAGTGGTAAGAGAGTTGCTGCTCCCTAAAGGGTGGTTTTGACTCACCACAAGATGTTTATCAGGTAGACCTCTTGTTCCTACAATCCAAGGTGACTGCCCCAGCAAAGGAGACAGATGCAAAATGGAAACGAGATGCTAAGTTGTAAAAAAACATCTGCAGGCTCAAGTCAATGAGCTAAGTGTTTTTAACCTAAGCCGCCTGTAAGTCCTGCTACATCTCTAGAGGGTCACAGTTTTGTCCCACTCTCTCCAAATCCCACACTGTTCCTTTCCAGTTACTAAAAATGCTTCCCTCTGACCCCAAACAACTAAAAGCCAAATGATCCATCTGGGACGAGTCCCACTTTGCCTAAGATAGGAGAAAGAGAGCAGAGGGCCAGTGTGAGCAAGAGTCAAGGGCCTCATTGGTCTGTGACATCAGGAGGCAAAGCAAAATGTGATTTAAGCAGCAACATAGGTGCCACATCTTAAAAATGGGAAGGGACAAGAGGAAGGAGGAGATGGTTAAATGGTGCTAGAGATAAACCGTACTTAGGAACTCAGGTTTCAAATATCAAGTCTTTAAGGCTCTTACCTTAAAAGGTTAGCAAGCCCCACTCCCAACTGGCCAAGACCCCCTAGACAAAAAAGAAAAAACAATAGTGAAACTTCAGAAACCTCGTGAGTTCAGGGATTCCCAGAATGTCATGAACAAACCGACTCTTCCTCAGCCTGGGAGGATGAGATGAAGTCCTGGGTTCAGCCGATGCCACTGCTACTGACTGTGCCACACGGCGCGGCACTCAGAACATGGAATGACGGCCACCCAGCCAGGACAGAGGCCAAGGCAGACACAGATGCCCCAGCCAAGGGGGTGTCTCAGCAGAGGAGAGGGGGAGGAGGAGCCAAAGCTCCTGTGCTTCAAGTACCAAGGACATTCACCACCAGCCTTGGCACACCTTCTGGTGGGATCTGAATCCCACTTCTATTCTCACTGAGCTGGGCTAGGAAGGGCAAGGGGGGTGGGCAGCAAGAAGTCCTTTGAGAAGAGGGCAGACAAAAAAACACTCAGTGGGGAGCCACCAGGAAAGTAAAAACTGGATGGCATCAGTTTCCTAATTTGCAGACTTAACAAAGGCATGGATAATACGGCATCAGGAATCCCACTAGAATGCACCATTATAATGCACCAATAAAAAAATGTAGAGGGGGAAAAAGCCATGGTTAGGAACAGGAAAGCCAGGGAGCTGGGAGCACATCTAGAGACACCCAAGCAGCAGTTGGACAGAACAGAGGGATTTCCCGCTAGCTCCTATTACTATGGCCCTCAAACCCTGGACATGCTTCATGAGGGAGGTGGCAGAGAGTGAGAAAACCACACACACACACACACACACCCTGTGAGGAAAGTGGGAGGACAGTGATGCAGAGCCAATGGAAGAAACCTGGCAGAGGAGGAGGAAATATCAATGTCAATCAAATGAGAGCGGGGCTTGGGCCAGGGGCAGCACGAAGTCTACAGTGAGAAGGTGCAGGATCAGGGCTGGCATATTCAAGGTAGGGCATCTGGTGACAGTGAGGTCAACGGCAATGAGGTCCCAGGACAGATGCTAACTTACCTGCTGCAGCGCCTTGTTTCCCAAGGCCCCGGGCCTGGTGACACGATAGCACATCACATGTTCCAAAACCAAAGGCAGCTACGCAGAGCAGCACCAAGAAGGTGAGATTCAAGCCAAGACAGGGAGAAGAGGAAGAGGGAGAAAATCCAACCTGTAATCAGGATCCGCGGAGGGTCTGCTTCCGAGGAGGCGGCAGAGTGGAAGCTGGCATTCTCTGGGATCTGCGAAGAGGAGTTGCCCAGACATCGGACTGGCAGGACAGACATCCAGCAGCTGCAGAGGGGCCTCTGCACTGCTCCACGGGCCACAGCCACGTGCCTCAGCATTCTGATGATCTGCATTTGCTTTTCAAATGTGCTGCAGGAAAAGGGAGCAGAGTCCACTAGGTAACCTTTCCTTCTTCCAGCCCCTGGAAATGAGATCCTTAACTGAAATTAACAATATGATCCTCAGCTAATGAGCACAGACCTGATTGGGGATTCAGGATTGGCATGAAGAGACTGCTGAGCTGGCCACAGGAAGCCAGTCCAGGGCCTGCTGTGAGTCAGGCCCCCGCGATAAAGGCATGAAAGGTTGCTCACACAAAGGCCAGATTCCGAATCGACCTCACAGTGCTGACAACAGGTCCTACTGCAGAGAGCCACCAGCACTGAGAAGAGCCACAGTTTATCTTCAGCCTGTCCCCGCACCATCTGAGGCGACAAACAGGCCCCAGACTAAATAAGGGTGCCCTGCTAATCTGGTACTAACACTTGGACATTATCTTTAAAATAAACCAGATGAGAAAAGCAGATGGTGAAGAGAAAAAGGTCCCCGCAACCTCGAGTAAGCTGTGAGCAGTTTTTGTTTTACTGCCATCTCTGTAGAAAGGGTCCCTTACAAAAAGTCATTTCTCATTGCTGCTAAAATCACTAGCATGTATCTGATTCAGTCCAGCTCTACCCACAAAATCAATCCTGGCCTTGAGAGGTCTGGGTGGTGCCAAGAGGTGTGGCTTGAGACATCGCTCCTCTTTCCCATCCTGACTGGTACACCCAGGAGGCACACCAGGGTCAACCAGAGCCACGGCTTGCCTGCAGGTTCTGACACGACTTCCCACACTCCCTAAAGGCAAATGGGTGACATGCTGGCATGTGGACCTGCAACCTCCACCTCTGTTCTGCCATCAGCTGTCCCCTCGCCAGGAGGGTGAAGTCCTTGCAGCCAACTCTGGTGTCCCACCCCTCACAAAGTGGTAACTGGGTTAAGATTCCAACCATCTTCTATTTTGCATTATGGAGGGAAAAGAGTAGACCACATCTACTTTATTTCTAGTGTGATCCTTGAGTGTCTCAGTGGCAGAGGATTTCTGGCAGTCCAACCCAGAGCCAGGTTCTAGTGAGGGAAAACAAAAGAAGACCAGCTTCCAGGGAGCGCTTTCACACCCCAGGTGAGCCCCCCCGGGGGGGGGGGGGTTGTTCTTTAGCACACAGTCTTACTGAAAGCTCGTCCTCTGTCCCCCCATGCCAATCCAATAAATGAGGACAGTTTTGAGAAAAAAGAAAAAAGTTTCATTGCTTTGCTAACAAAGGAGAAACACAGAGGACTCCAGTCCAGGGGCTGTGGTCCTGACCCCCAGGGGGAACTGGGCTTTCAAAGAGGTGATTCGAAGGCACTGCATTCCAGACTTCAGAGTGGGCTGGTTCTTAGATCTCTGGTGCCACCCTGGAAGTCTGAATGCCTTCATTCCCATGGTGTGTGAGCTCAAGGACAGGGGACTGGAATGAGAAGAAGGGCACTCTCATTTCCCCCTGGGTGGTGGGGGGGCGAGGAGAGAAGGGGGTAAAACAAGGGGAAAATAAGCCACAGCAGCAAAGCATGAAATGGATAAAAGCATGAAAATGTTACAATGGAAAAAGGTGCTTGGAATCCCAGGGGTTTCTGCTGGGTCCCCAGCTCTACCCAGGGCCCAAGGTCCTTCACCCAGGTCAACTCCTAAATGAGCCACACAAGTACCTTCCTGCTGTGGGCACGTCCCTAGCTTTACTTTACATTCGAAGCCTGGTGTCAAGGACCAGCTGTGTGACAGGAAAGACCAAGACTCTCTCAAACACCCTGAGGCCCACTGTGGGAAATCTTCCCTGCAGCCATTGCTGGCACCTGAGACCAGGCAAGAACTCTGAGCCTAGAGGGACTCATTTCAGCAAGTTGAAAGGGAGACTGGGGAAGCCCAGAGATGACTGGATTTCCCAGAACATTTGAAACTCAAGGACAATTTCCAACTCCCCAAAGCAAAATAATGAATGGCCACGGCCCAAAGGTTTTCTCATTGTGTTTGTTTTTGTTTTGTTTCAGTTCAAAAGACTATAGAGTCGAGGAAAAGCAAACCTGAGATACCAGATAGGTACCTCTCTGTTAGTCTTCCATTCCCCACAGGGAGAAGTGTGAGCCCCTCCCACCCCAGAAGCTCTTAGCCCTATCCCCTTTACCCTCAGAGCCCACCTGCCCCCCAGCACCCAGGTCTCACCACAGCTGCGCGTGGCTCATTGCAGGGTTCCTTTCACAACCTCCACCTGTGCACGGCAGGGCTTTTCCAAGTCCAGATTGTTATCTTGCTATAGACACACTGAATTTAAGTCACATGCCAGATAAAGAAGTTCCAGTCAACAATGGGTCACGCACACGCGATGGTTCAGAAGCCAATAGTGACATTGCAGTCATCTTTATGTAAGTGAACTGGATATATCATGTCCCCACAGCAACAAAATCACCTAACTTCGCGTTTCCCACGACGGGTCCCCCTTCCTCAGCAGTGCATGGTGCTCTTCAGGCAGCAGCTCACGTTCTTTAGTCCTTCACACTCTCAAAAATCAGAGACTTGTGTGGGTTAATCTATCAATATTTACCTTAATTTATCAATATTTACCAAAAAATGCTGCCGGGTGCAGGGTTGCACGCCTGTGATCCTGGCAGCTTGGGAGGCTGAGGCGGGAGGTTGGTGAGTTCAAAGTCACCCTCAGCAACAGTGAGGCGGTAAGCCACTCAGTGAGACCCTGTCTCTAAATAAGATACAAAATTGGGCTGGAGATGTGGCTCAGTGGCCAAGTGCCCCTGAGTTCAAGCCCCAGTACCCACCCTCCCCAAAAAGCTTAACTTTTTATTGATTCATTTAAAAATAAATGTTAACATACACATTTTTATGAAAATGTATTTTCCAAAGCAAAAAAACATTTAGGACCCAGAATGTCATTGGTCCATTCCTCTCGCTGACGTCTGTCTTAACAGAGAACAGCTGCTTTCCCATCTCTGTGCTTTGATTGAAGCCCGTAGAGAAAATAGAACACCACAAAGTAGTGGGCAAGGGCCTAATGTTTTCTCGGCCTTTGCAGATAATTCTGGACATTCATCATATCTTCCAAACCAATGTCAACATGCTTCTCTATACCAGAAAGTCACACTGGCTGGTGTCGCCACTGATCCCAATGGGAAATTCCTACGAAGTGGGAAGCTGTCAAGCTCACCAGGTGAGTTGGCAGCAAACACTTCAGCCATCTCCTTGCAGTGACTGGCTCACTTATTGCCTTCTTAGAATCTATCTGCCAATTACCCAGGTATAGAGAACCATGTTTGCCATTCACCTTTCAAGCAAAAATGGCATCTATGAAGAAGAGTGGCCAGTTCAGCTCTCACATCAATCCCATGAACACATCACGCCAGGCATCTGTCACACTTGGATGGCAACAGAAGAGCTTTATAGGCACTTCCATTCACCACCCAGCACACCAAATAGACACGCAGTCAGAATCAACACTTAATGAAATTATGTGTTCTTGATGAAACCATACACAGGATTAAGGTAAAGCTGGTAATGAAGGTGACACTTTGGGGTACTGGGGACCAAATCAGGACCTTGTGCATCCTAAGCACATGCTTTGCCACTGAGCTACACCAAAGAAGTGTTTCTGTCATGACTGCAAATTCCTCCATTTGCAAGGCAAAAAACACACCTCTCCCATCTGTCACACCACCAACACCATCAGCGTTCATGTTTACAGCTAGATCTTGGTACTTTAACACAGGGAAGCAGTGGGGTGGTGATTTCTTTTAGTGCCTTTTCCTCCAATCAGGCTTTTTGTGAGTTTTCCCAGCCAATACAACTTAACAATCTATGCTGTTTGATACTTCAATAGCTTATTTTCTGGTCTGAAAAGCTGGAATGGATAATTTGGGGCTTCACAACACTCACCCACCTACAGTTAAGCCATTCAAGTCCTTTTTCTTTAGAGGTCTCTGAATGGGTCTCAAAATGATGCTACCAGCTCCGCAATCCCATTTGGAAGGTAAACTAGAGGTAAAGCAAAGAGTGTTTCCATCGCTTCTCATTTAGCTTTGCCCATTTCTTGGGGTAAATTTCTCCCTTCCATGAGTCAGGGAACTTACCAATTTGTCCGTTTCATTTGTTTGCACTTTTAGGGACACAGATGGTACAGGTGCGAATTGAAAACATTCAGTTCCTCTTGTACACCAATAGTCTATTATTCTTAAGTATAAAATGTATACATTCATATCCTTGTTTCAAAATAAATTATCATTAAATTCAGAAATAATTTGATACCATTTAAAAATTTAGAAAATCTTCAAACCAAGACTACGAAAGTATGTATTTTTTGTTGTTTTCTTCCATGTAGATACAGGAAAACTCTGGGACTTGAAGTCACAGAGATAGGAGTAGATATTGGTGATGACAGCTAATAAACACAGCAGAAACGCTAAGCACAAACTATGTTCATCTCTGAAAACACATATTGGTAACCCCAAAGCTGCCACCTTAGAAGCGTCTAGATACACAAGAGTACACAAGCACACATGTTGTTAGCCATTGAGCAAAAATTCAAGTCACGTAGCCTCTGGGAAACTCCACCATATACTTCTGAGAAAGGATGAAAACGTCAAGTCTTTCTAAGGTCTTAATATTAAATAAAATTCAAAAATAGTTCTAAAATAGTTTTAACCTCATATCAACCCTAAAAAAGTTCATGGGGATTCTCGGTGTTCCCCAGATTATACTTTGAGAACATCTATGATTAAGTAAAACTTGTTTTTCCAGCTAGTAGTTAAATTTATAGAGAGAAACCATCAAAGAAAATTCTTAATCCCTCCCTCTGAAAGATCAGATGACAGGCTGCAGCCTGTCCCTCCTGAGAACTTGTTTGCACAGGATGAAGGCCAACAGACTCTCCCTCAAGTTAATGGGGCAACTTCCCAGGCCTCTCTGGGGTCCATTCTTCTGCTTCCTCCATCTCCAGCAAGCACCAGGGCAGGACCCTGAGACAGGCCTGCCATCAGAGAGGCAGTGATGGAT